ACATTAGGTCCTCATTTTTCCCCTCCCTCCCCGCTCCCCCCTCCCACATGAGCCCTTGATAGTTTATAAATGGGTATTTTGTCATATCTTGCCCTGGTTTTTTATTTTTACAGCTCTATAACAATCCATACATCAATTGTATCAAGCACATTTGCACGTATGTTGCCATCATCATTTTCTAAATACTTACTTTCTATTTGAGCCCTTGGTATCAGCTCTTCTTTTTTCCCTCCCTCCCCCTCCCACCTTCGTGACCCCTTGATAAATTATAAATTATTATTTTCAAAACTTATGCCAACTACTATCTCCCTTCACCCACATTTCTGTTGTTTGTCCTTCTGGGGGTGGTGAGGGTGGTTATGCGACAATCACTGTGAACTGTTCTTCCTTCCCTCCCCCCTCCCCCCTCCCCCTACAACTCCCATTTCTGTTCCTGAGGGGAGTTTATTTGACCTGGATTCCGCGTGTCATGAGCTCTTATCTGTACCAGTGTACATGCTCTGGTCTAGCCAGAACTGAAAGATAGGACTGGGGTCATGATAGTAGGGAGTGAGGAAGCCTCAAGGAACCAGAGGAATATTGTGTGTTTCATTGGTGCTATACTGCACCCTGGTTGACCCATCCCTTCTGTGAGGGGATGACCCATTGTCTACCGATGGATTTGGGGTCTCTGCTCCAACCCCCCTCATTCTCAGCAGTATGCTTTTTTGTTTGTTTGTTTTGGGTCTTCTGATGCCTGTTACCTGATCCCGTCGACACCTCATGATCACACAGGCTGGTTGCTTCTTCCATGTGGGCTTGTTGCTTCTCTGCTAGATGGCCGCTTGTTTAACTTCAGGCCTTTAAGACCCCAGACCCTATATCTTTTGTTAGCCAGGCACCATCAGCTTTCTTCACCACCTTTGCTTGTGCAACTATTTTGTCTTCAGCAAACATGCTGGGAGGGTGAGCATCACAGAATGCCAGGTTATTAGAACCAAGTGTTCTTGCATTGAGGAAGGCTTGAGTAGAGGCCCAAAATCTGTCCACTCCCTCAATGTATTGCCATATAAGTATATGTACATAGGCCAATACCTCTATTTTTATGAATTAATATATTTACATAGGTACACACCTGTTTATACCTTTGTCCATAGCTATACTTCCTAGATCTCTCCAGTTTTCTTTTACCTTCCTCCTGTTCCACCATCACACTTGCCCTTCTTCTGCCTCTTAGTAATTCCTCTCAGCTAGATTGCTGTTGCTCCAACACCCTTAGGATCTCTATATCCTCCTTGTTGTTGATTTTAATTCCCTAATTGTTCCCCAATCTATGGAGTGTTTACTCACCACTCCCCCCAAGTTTCTCCACAACCATCAGGGTGTTACTTTCTCCTTAGGCTTGCTTCCCATGCCTTTAAATTTTCTGATCTAACAACAGGAGCACCGGGCGGGTGATTTACACAGCACATACAATGATGCCGAATGCAGGCACATCACAGGACAGTGGTGAATCCAGCGGTGGTGGAAGCATCTCAGCTCTGGTGCGGGTCTCCATGTGGCTCCTCCAGTTTCCGGGCTCTCGCTGCCATCAGCATGGCTCCAGGTGGCTTGTCAACAGGAAAGGTCCTATTTTTATATTTTGAAGCTTCCACAGAGTTCATTGTCACTCACACATTCACTTGAGGGTAGAAATAATTCACTGTCTAGGAGCTGAAACAAGATCTGTGATGTTAATTGTACATTGGTGAAATGCTCTGGAGCCCTCTGCAAATCTGTGGTAGGTAGCAATGAATATTGAAGCACTACTGCTGACTCAGCAGTCACTTTGCTAATTATCTCACATCCTTTTTGTCTTTCAGTTCTGCAGGAAATTCATTACGCCACATGCTTTACAGGCTCAAGTTTGGAGAAAATATTTAATCGGAGCAAAAACAGATCTAATACAGGTTCGTGTGCAGCTGTGGTCTTGCACAATGTAACTTGATGTTGAGCAGGGCTTTCTTTTTGTGCTAAAATTGATGGCTGGAGTTTATATCTATGGACAGAGGTGTCAAATACCCAAATTTGTGGTCCGCACAGACCTCCAGGGTTTTATAAGAAATGTCTGATCTGGCCTAGTTATCTAAAACCATCACTCTAGGAGGCTGCCTTTCCTTCCAGCCTATTTAAGCAGAAAACTAGTGACAGAGAGATCAGTAGCATTGGGAGTTGTTGGCCTGAGGTTCAGAGAAAATGTGCTCTATGTGGAAAGTATCCAAATGCTGGCTTGTGAAGTGAAAAGTATGAATCTTTTGCTGAGAGTGAGGAAGAGATGAAATAGGGACAAGTTAGGTAGGTATGGAGCAGTGGGTCTGCAGAACACATAACATCACTGCATATTTCTAAGAGACCTAGTCTTTTTTAAAAATCATTTTAATGGGGGCTTGTACAACTCTTATCACAATCCATACATCCACCCATTGTGTCAAGCACATTTGTACATTGGTTGCCATCATCATTCTCAAAACATTTTCTTTCTACTTGAGCCCTTGGTAACAGCTCTGCATTTTTCCCTTCCCTCCCCCACCCTTCCTCCCTCAAGAACCCTGGATAATTTATAAATTATTTTTCATGTTTTTCAATGTCTGATGTCTCCCTTCACCCACTTTTCTTTTGTCCATCCACCGGGGATGGGGTTATATGTAGATAATTGTGATTGGTTCCCCTTTCTCCCCCACCTTCCCACCACCCTCCTGGTACTGCTACGCTCATTATTGGCGATCTAGTCTTACAACTCTTGTGAGTGAACAAGAGTAAGCTTAATTATCTTACTAGGCTAATTAGAAATTTCTATGATAATTAGAAAGTTCTATTTTCTGATTAACCCTCTCAAGCTTTCACTCTGTAGCTTCTTCTCTAGGAGTCTCCTGGTACAGGGGCTGTGGTAATGAGTCTCCAGGAGGGCCTTCTAGTGAACACACCTTCCAATTTGCATGCTGTAGTGTGTGATGGACCCAGTGGCTACCACAACGCACTCAAGCATAGGAGCAATCCTGAGCATGCACAGGACCAGGCGGTGTTTCCTTCTGTTGCGCATCAGCCGGAATCAAAGACACCTACCAACAAGGTAGTCTCCTCTTATTGGACGTGGCACTGCATAATCTCTCACATATACCGAAACATCAAGCTGTCCTTGAGTCGATTCTGGCCCCTAACGACCCTATGGGCCAGCTAGAACTGCCTCCGTGGCTTTCGGAGATCACTGACAGATCGCTGACAAGTAGAAAGCCCCATCTTCTGTCTTCAGAGTGGCTGGTGGTGTGGCATTGCTAATCTTGCAATTAGCAGCTTGATTTGTAACCCTCTGCGCCACCAGGGCTCCTTTCTCTCAGACGAGGTCAGATAAGAAGCCTCATTGGTTCTAACTTAATCGGTTTGGGTGTTTTGTTTTTGCCTTTCTTTTGGTAGCTGGCCTCTGGTAAGGGCTTGCCTTTTTCAAAGGTTCCTGTTCTTTCTTCATATCCCTTTATGTAGAAGAGGGGAGATCCTGAAGGAAGGGCGGACCATGCTCCTTTCCCTCTGCGACTTGTTTAGTGAAGGAACGAAAGAGAATTAAACAAGAACAAATTGAAGTAATGGCTGGAGGGAGAAAAAAATTGCTTCGTTTGTACTTGGATGAATTCCATTTGTTACGTCAATATACCACCCTCTAAGGAGCAACTATTGGCCATAGGAAAACAAAGAAACAAAAAGAAAGCTCAAGGAACGCGTTAGTCCAAAGGACCAGTGGCCCACATGAACCACAGCCTCTTCTTACCTGAGACTTGAAGAACTTGATGGTGCAAGCCAGTCCCTGCCCACAGCACTCAGCTTTACTTTCTCCGTGGCGTGGGAAGGTGACAGTTGTTCCATGCTCTGACTCCTGGTTCTGCTGCTGCTCCGTGGATGTTGGAGCTCTCACTGCACAGGGATCTTGCTTCCAGAGGACACGCTCCATTCCTGAGATCCCACCTCCTGCTTCTCCAAAGGCTCATTTTCTAAGCTGTAGGATGGCACTCCAGGGAATCCTTTACACAATTACTCACTGGGGAATCCTATCAGTAGCTTCCCCCACTTTCTTACCAGGCCCATGCAGGAGAAGGTTGTTTAGTGGAAGTTCGAGTCTTTGACTAGAAGCGCCACCTTGCATAATACACCACCCTTGATGAGTTTCCTCACATAGAGACAGGAAGCAAGACACAAGGAAATGGGTAACACAGGGTGCAAATAGGGAGCGTGCTGGTGATTGCATGTAATCTGTGTGTGAACAATCTCTTTGTGAACTATTGATTGGGAAAACTAATTTACTATGTAAACTTTCACCGGAGACATAGTAAAATGTTAAATATGTAAGTATACCGACCTTCCCAAATTCCAGCAAAATAAACACAGGAAAGATGAGTATGACTCCAGTTGTTAATTGCACAAATATTTATTGGACACTTAGTTTGTGCCAGGTACTATGCTCAGTATTGTGGATATAGCAATGAAGAAAAGAGACAAAAGTTTCAGCCCTCATGAAATTTTCTTCTTAATGTTTGTTACTGTATATTCCTCTAGAAAAAAAAGACAAACCCCTTAGTTAGGTGTTTCAAGCAAGTGAAAATATGGTCCTATGGATGGAGGGATGGATTGTGGTAAGAGCTGTAAGAGCCTCCAATAAAATGATTTAATAAAAACATCAAATAAAAAAAGAGAATGCGGGTCCCCCGGAATGGGGTTATTAACCACACAAGGTGATGCCAATTGGCAAAATATCTGTTACCAGACTACAGCAAATAAGTACATGATTTGAACAGACACTTTACCAAAGAGGATCTATAGATGGCAAATAAGCTTGTGGTAAATGCTTACTATCAATGAAAGTTAAAACCAGAAGGAGATATTATATAGCACTTATTAGAATCTGACTGTACTAAGTTTGTGCAAAAATGATACAGAATAACTGGAACCCCTGTAAATTACTTGTGGGAATTTGAAATTTTAAAACCACACTGGAAAGTAGTTTGACAATTTCTTAAAAAGTTAACCATACACTTGCCATATCTTTTAGCCATTCCATTCCTAGACATTTACCCCAAAGAAAAAAGAATCTAGCCCCATGAAAACCTGGTATACAACAGCTTTATTTTTAATAACTGAAAACTGAAATGAATCCCACATGTCCATCAACATATGGACAGATAAGCATATTGTGGTATATTTATATAATAGATTATTAGCAAAAAAGGGACCAGATGACTGAAACATGTGACATCATGAATAGACCTCAAAATAGCCATGCTGAGTGAAAGAAGCCAAATTACAAGCGTGCATGTGTGTTAGAGAGAAAGCGATGAACAGAATGAACCTGCACCAAGAAACGTGTAACCCGGCAGGAGATCATATCTAAAGAAATGAGCATGTACACTACGGAATGATGCTGATAGTAAGCCTAGATAGAGCGTGGCACTTCATCTAATCTTAGAGAGTCAATGATTTGTAACCAAAAGTTGAAATAAATAAGGCATGAAACGGGAAGAAACGAACAATTTATCTAGGAAAGTTTACTAGAGATTACCTAGGGTACTAGGAGGAGAGAAAGAAAGCTATTGCTTGATGTGTATAGAGTTTCTATTTGGAGTGGTGACGTTTAAAAATAAATAGTGGCAATAGTAGTACAACATTGTAATTAAGGCCATATTCATACTTTAGAAAGAGTAATATAGCTAAATTATAAATAATAGGTTGAAAGGAAATGAGGTTTAAATCAAAGTTACTGCTTTGCAGATCTCAGAAGTAATGTGAGGGGCCTTCAACAAGTTCTTTAAAATGTAATTAAAAGATTAAAAAAATGTATTTCTCAAATTAATTCCAGCAAGACCAAACTATTAACCATGTCAACGCAGTTTTTAAAAAACATTTCTAACTAAAGAAAATTGGTACCTTTTTAAGATTCTTTTAAGATTAGGAAAGAAAACGGAAACAGAAGGAGCCAAATAAGGGTTATCAAGTAGATGTCTAATGGTTTCCCATCAAAACTCTTGCAAAATTGCCCTTGTTTGGTGAGAAGACATGAGCAGGAGCTCATGGTCAAGGTGGAGAAGGTCTCTCTGGTGACCTTCTCAATGTTTCTCACTGAGATACACCTTCTGGTATTTTTCAGGCATTTTTCTGAAAAAGCTTCTGCTGATTTTTTTCAAAATACTGTCATAAAAAGCAGATGGTATTGTTCTTTGACGCTCCAGAAAGTTAGTACACAAAATGCCTCGAGCATTCCAACCCCATCACTGTGACCTCTGCTTGACTTTTGCATTGACTGGACTATTTCCACGTCTTGGGAGCCATTGCTTTGTTTGAGTTTTGTCACCAGGACCATACTAGTAAAGCCATTGACTGTTGCAATTCTTCCAACAAATACTTCAGAACCTTGACCCAACTTGTGTAAAATGTGCCCTGAATTCCTGCTCTTGTTTACTGCTGATTTTGGTACAAGAGTTTGGGCACCCCTCAAGCAAAAAGATGGCTGAACTTTCATTTTATTTCCATCCGAATTTTGTAAGCTGAACCAGTTGGGATATCTGTAGTGCTGGCTACTGTTTCTGACATCAATCTTTGGTCTCCTTTAACTAGAGTAGGAACGGGATTTGTTTACCTTGGATATTGTATTTCCATTCAGCAAAATAACACGTGTCTTTTCTCCAGAAAGTAGTTTGTTTCCCCTCTCTTCTAGCCATCAAAGAATTCTGATCTGTGTGCATGTCTCTTCTTGACTTTTTATAAAAGTGAGATAATCCCACATCAGCCCTTTTCTATTTCACTCAGCATAATACCTTACAGATTTATCCACGTTGTACTTCTCAGATGTATCACTGTTTTTATAATTACATAACATTGCATTGTATGTATACACATCAATTTGTTTATCTCTTCAGCTGTTGATGGGCATTTAGATGGTTTTCATCTTTTTGCTATTGTGAACAATGCTGCAATGAGCCCAGGTGTGCATATATCTAGTCACATCACTGCTTTTATATCTCTAGGTTATACAAGAGAGCTTCAAAAAGTTTATGGAAAAATTGAATTAAAAGGCAATGGAAATTTTTCTTAAGCTTTTTGAAGCCCTTTCACGTATACCTCAGAGTGGGATTATTGAACTAATACTGGATTATTTCCACTTCCAGCTTTTTGAGGAAGCACAGTTAGGCAGGTTTTTTTTTTTCAATCATCAATTGCACAATTTTATTTCACTGTGGTTGCATGTATTTTTTTTTTTTAACATTTTATTAGGGGCTCATACAACTGTTATCCCAATCCATACACACATCAATTGTGTAAAGTGCAT